GGAAAAAAATAAGATATCAATCAATCAATCAATCAATCAATCAATCAATCAATCAATCTATCTATCTATCTATCTATCTATCTATCTATCTATCTATCTATCTATCTGTCTGTCTGTCTGTCTGTCTGTCTGTCTGTCTGTCTGTCTGTCTGTCTGTCTGTCTGTCTGTCTGTCTGTCTGTCTGTCTGTCTGTCTGTCTGTTTATCCTTAAAATAAAATAATCAGATATTATGCACTTGAAATAAAATCCTGATGTTGTTTTTGTTCTTATTTTAAATGTAAATTGTCATATTCCATCAGCAACTCTGTCATCTGTAATCAAAAGTGTTGATGGAAGTAGCCCAGCTGATATTTCTCTGTGGGGTGGGGTCACTGTCAAATAGGAACAGGACATATGAAGCTAAATTGAATAGAAAAAAACTAGAGCATCAAGTTTTAGGTTGTATTAACAAATACCATAGATTTTTTCGAATATTAATAGACTGAAACAATGATGAAAATGAAAATGGTACTCATGTCCTCAAGCAGCCTTAACCTATAGAAACTATTTTTGTAATTTAATGTTTGTCCTAAATGTGTATGAATGAATAAAAATATGGTAAAGTGTACTGACCAGTGACTGCTAGATTAAATAGTTTTTGCAAGATGCTTTTTGGTTTCAGTTATTTTCCAAAGGGATTATGGATCATTGAATAACATGTATTCCTTATTTATTCCTGAGGCAAGTCAGCAATACCAGCTGTGGAGCTTCCTTCCATGTCAACACATAATGTGTTTGGTTGTGCAAATGCAGAGGGCAGCTTTCTGTAAATTCAGCTTCAAGACAGCATTTGAGGATATTTTTGCTGATGAATGTTTTGATGAAGCTGAGCTCATCAAAAATAAATTAGATTTCAGGTCTTAGCACAATTCTGGATCATCTTAAATAATAATTGTTTTTTTTTCACACCAGGCCAACTGTGAGGCTTCATTCAGATACTGTAGCTTAATTTTGCTTTTTAAAATCTATTTGCATTTTGTTTGTTTTGACAGAAATAAAGTCAGCAGCATTCAGCATGTTTTGCTGGACTGAGCAAGAAACTGCTCTTAGAAAATGACCTCCTGCTGAGCTGGGAAAAGTGCCTCCCTTTTTTCCCCCAGCTGTTTCCCAATTGTCAGGTCTCTTTTAAATTTGTTCAACATTTTTCATACACCCTCAGAAAATGCCTGAATCTTCACTCTTCTTCTCTGTCATCCATTTCTTCCTCTTTGTCACTCTTTTCTGTTTTTGTTTTTTTTATTCCTATCAGCTTCCTCTTTAGGAAATTGTGCTTCTTCCTCTTTCTCGTATTTCATTGGCTGAAGTCCATTAGAATGTGGAAAAATGGCAGCAGAGGAAATTCGGTTGTTGTTTATGTCCTCTGAATATTTGTTTAAAACAAAAAAGAGCACCAGTAAGGACAGCACATTAGTGGTATTATTTTTTAACTGGTCTTTGTGCCAACTTCAGCAGAACATACCTTAGGCAACTGTCAAGTGACCTATTGAAGAGTTGACTGTGTGTAAAGATAAATGTAAAGCACAAGCAAAGTATTGTGACGAAGCAGTGTCAATGGTCCCATATAACTATAGGTCAACATTTTTACCCACATATACGGTAAAAAAAAAAAGCAAAATAATATAGCGGGATCTCTTCACATCCAGAGGATGATTCAAGTATCTTGGTGTCCTGTTTATTCTGACTTAGGGCCGGATTTATCAAGATCCAATTTTGCGTGCAGTAATTTGCGCTCGCAAACTGAAATTTTGCGCGAGGGGCTGAACCATGGTTTGCGGGTGATTTAACAAGAGCGATTGCGTAACTGGTGACAGGTGCAAAACTGTTGGAGACGCCCTATTTAAATGATGGTTTTGCGCGTTTTGTGGTTTGCGGCATGGCGAGTTTGGACAGCAGAAGGCGCAATAGGAAATTTGACCCCATGGAAATGGAGGTATTGGTGGATGAAGCCAACAAACATTTAAGTGAGCTACAGCAAAGAAGTGTGCCTGTCACACAGAGGAACGCTATATGTGAACAAATCAGTAATAAAGTAAACGCTGTTGGTGAAACCTTGCGAACAGTGGATGAAGTAAAAAGAAGATACCAGGATATTAGAAGGCGAACCAAAGAAAAACTGGCATATAACAAAACATCTGCGAACAAAAGAGGAGGGGGCACAGTAGATGAGATGCCTCTGACCAGCATTGAGGAAAAAGTACAGCTGACGCTCTGTGAGGAGCAAATCACTGGAATTGCAGCTCCAAAATGGCAATGCTGGATAAACGATATGTTTTGATGATCGTTTCCTCGTTCATTCCAAAAATATTCACACGGAGTGGAAAAATGTGTTCTCTGCGTCTCCTTGCTTCATTTCGATGTCTCCTTCTTGCGACAATAACCGCTGCCATGTGTGCGCAATTACGCATACAGACCATTTGCACCTTCTTTTGAAACGTGTTAAATATAGAGTCAGATACCGTTAGCAAAATTGCTTTCAGGTTTAATAAATCACTTTGCGAGTGCTAAATTAATATATTTACATGTTCTCCTCCCACAAGACGCACTTTTGCGTGTAAACGCCCCAAATTGCATATTCATAGCAGAAAAAGTACTAAATGGATAAGAGGCGCTATTTAGCACGTTTTAAAGACCAGATCCTTTTAGCACGTTGTTGATAGATCAATTTGTACATTTTTTAGCGTGCGCAGTGAAATAGCTCACGTTTTTATACACGCAAACCTTTGATAGATCCGGCCCTTAGTCAGGGTTGGTGGATGTTGTTGTGGACCCAAATGCAGAGTAAAAGAGGCAGAATTTGTTTTTGCAGTTTTAATACTGAAGTAGTACAAAAACATAAATTCAGAAATAACAGGCAGGGAAACCGAAAACTAGAGACGTGCAGGAGAAACAAGCTATGAAGAGGATCCGATCCAGCAATGACGAACTGCACACGAAGTGTATATATGGGGGAAAGAACAAAAAATGTCAGCATGGAGCAGGTGTATGGTGCTAGATCGGTCTCAATTTTCACAAATACACATATGTGATTCATACATGCACAGGACAAGTTCCACACACACAGCATCATTCACGTAAGCACAAAAAAATCCACACACACAGTACAAGATCCACACACACATAGTACGATTCATGCAAGCATACAAGATTCACACATGCACAGCACAAGGTTCCCCAAAGTATTTCTGGTCCATAAACAATTATAAATTAAATTACAAAGTACCAATAGTCTTTAAACTTCACTGCATTTGTGTTTGGATTTTTGAGATTCTCTTGATGTGCCTTAATACACAAATGCATTTTTTTAAACAGTGGATGGTTTGCAACCAATCACAGAGCTCCTTTGTATAAGCCAATCACAAGGCCAATCGTGCTGTGTGTGTGAATTTTTTGTACTTGCATTAATTGCGCTGTGTGTGTGTGGATCTTGTGCTGTGTGTGTATGAGTCACATATGTGTATTTGTGAAAATTGAGACCAATCTCCATACAGGTGTGGAGATTTGCACAAGGGGTTAACAAAGAGTAACTCAAAAAATAACACTGTTTAAATATAACACCAAATCGAAAAGTAATCAATGACCACCAATACAGAATGACATACATAACTGAAAATTCAAGAAGAAAGTTAAACAGAAACACATAAAGGGCAGAATGGAATTCTAAATTCAGCTCAGGTTACCTGAGTGCCTCACTAGAGATTTTAACATTAACACTTGAAATGTTTACAGACAGGTTAGTTGCTTTAACTTTTGTTATCTCAGATAACGGACATACAGTGCACATTTTTATTTGTAAAACTTTTCCTCTTAGTGAATTCAAACTTATAGCTCCTTATGTTCTATTTATTTCAATGACTGAAATCTCAAACTAATCATTAAAAGTTAAAGTGGAAAATTCTTTGCAAAAAGTTATTATGTGTGTATTAACGTGTTGTTTTTTATTGTTGGAGCAGACAAGATTTAATTCTTATTATTTCGAACTTCAATCTTTTTCACAAACATCATGTTTACAATGTGGTGAACAAAAGGCAGACTTAGAGTCTTTCTTTCCTTCTGTGTGGAGCCAACATTTTGCTTCTCCAAAGCTACTTTTCTCGTATCATTGTTTTAAATTAATTCTTGTAAATCCTAGCCATGTAAACCTTGAACATAAATTTAAGTTGGATACCACTATTGATGCTCTTTCCTTTTGCTGCCATTTTTTCAAGCTTTGATGCTGAATTATTAGGTTTCAAAAGTAATGGTACATTAGAAAAAACACTTTAGGAAAGCTACATTGATGAATTTCAATATTTTTGTTTGGAATATGCACTTGGTTAATGTTTAGTTATTTGTTGCTGTAATCTGGGAGAATTGTTTGGTCAGAGAGGCAATCTGTTCTCTTGCATAACTGCTCGGATAATATGAGGCACCCTGCAGTGAACTATTCTAATCCCAGAAACCTGAGGGGTGTTTGGCACAACATAAGAGAAACCTTCATTCTTCTAGTAGCTTAGAAAGTCGAACTACTTTTCTAAATACTAATACTTCAATAAACAAGCCATCATCTTGTTACTTTATTTGCAAGATAAAGTGGCTAAAGATTGCATTGAGCAGTACATGAGTGAGTGGAGGTGAGTTTGTTTGTGTACATCAGCAGAAGAGATAGTCTGATCCTGGTTAGAAAAAGAAGATTGGGGGCAGCACCAAGACCCACAAGTAACAAACCATTTCGTGGTCCAGTGAGTCTAATTTTAAACAGAACAGGGTCACCCACCTGTGAAAGGTGGGAAAATAAATTATATATTCATGGTAAGCAGGGATAGATGAGTGTTCAGGAAAAAAAAGAAAAAAACATATTTGTGGCTGAATATTTATGGAAAAATGATTCAATTTAATTGAATTAAAACATACTTTATTAATTCCAAAGGGAAATTAAATAAATATACCTCAGAGATGAAAGGTTATATTTGATGTTTTCCAGGTGTGAATGTGAGTGAGGAGCTTCCGCTTCACAGAGTGACAAAGAGCCCTCCGCTGATAGATCAACATAGAGGGCCGCCATGTCGCAGCAGCAGCGGCCTCCAACCTCCTTCTACCCCGGTGTTGCCACGGCGTTACCTGCCACCCCCGCCAAAAAGCTCCCCTGGAGGTGAGTAGATGTTTGTGAACAGAAACCATTCAAAACACTATCTTTACTCTTCTTATTGGGGTTTATGAGGAGCAGAGCTGTATTTAAGTGTTGATGTTACATGTAGATGACTTATGCTAAAAAATAGAATAAGGAAAAATATAACTTAGTGACAGCACTGAATGCTGTAGTGCTGTCACTACATTATTTTTTTCAGTTATTGTTTTGCAAATTATTACTGTTTAAATGGCAGCTTTTTTGTGGGGTGGAGTTGTACTTTTCTCCTGAAATATAAAACCTTTAGAGCTGAAAGCTGAGAAAAAGTGAAATTCTTGCTAGATCTCACCTGACTTTGCAAAAGTAACACCAGTTGTGTGAGAAGCTGGGACACTTTTCACACACAGCACTATTTTTCACTTGTAGAGTGAGATTTAGAATAAATCCATATAGAATAAAATGTGAAATGTCTAATTTTTATTCTTTATAGCGTCATATTCATTATCATATATATTTTCTGGTTTGTCTGACTAACATACATGTTTGGAAGAAAAACAGCAAACCAGAGATCCAGACACTGCTGTTGATTCATTTTCTTTTACCTGGTTTTATCCTCATGTTTGGTTACATATGGTGCTTATTTTTTGACAAGATATGTCCCTGTCAAAATCAACAAACATCCACTACGTTATGTCATCAATATAGCAATGTTTTCTTTATGTTGCTTAAAAAAGGCTCCGTTGACAGATATACAGGGATCTTATACCTTGAACTGCCACTGTCAAACTGTTGCTCACATTGTTTCTTTTTTTATGTTGTTTTCTTTCCATTGTTTCTTGATCTCATTTATTGTTATGATATTTTATGTATCCTGAACAAATCATGACTGCTAAATATCACACCGTACCTTTAAAGACTTTTAACCTCTGGAATTTATTACTATCAGATTTTAGGATCCTTTCAGAGTTGTTTATTTCTAGGCTTAAGAATCGACTATAGATGAACAAGAATTTCTAGATATTATAATCGATTTGAAGGCATAGTTTTATATCACTTTCTGGTCATTTATTGTATTCTGTTCATTTTAACTTTGCATTCAACTGTTAAAGGTTGTTCTTAGAACAGGTGTTGCAAATTAGCCATGGCTATAAACATTATTAAACAATTTTGTAGACATATTTCAGCACTTTTTATATTGGCATGATTTGATTTTTGATCTGCACACCTGCAGCATGAGCCACTCTGAGAGCAGCTTATGAATGACAACAGATTAAGTAGATGGAACACACATAATAGTTAACCCATAAAAAATGTCTTTGGAGCCATGATGTATCTCTCCAGGGTTATAAAGGGATTTTTTGGGGGAACAGAGGCCTCTCTTATATAACAGCTTTAATTAGTTTCCTTTCAAAGCCACTATTTTCCCTCTTCTCTCTGCCTCCTGACAGGCTCTCTGCGAACCTCTTGAAACCCTTCTCACTTTTTTCTCTTCACACAGTTTCATCCTCAGCTCTTGGAGCTTCAGCGCGACACATCTAGCATTGTTCTGTAAAACCTGCTGCTTGCTTTACACCAGCACATTTCTCCAGCTGTGTAAAATATATTAGGTAGCATAAAAGTAAACACACGAGCGCAACATAAAATAAAACATACTTAAATGTCTAAAATAGGACTAGATGTCCTGTTCATGGTCGACACATGGTCCTGATGAACTCTTATATAGCACACAGCAGGGGGGGATAAAAAAGGAAGAGTAATAAAAAAATATGAAAAACATGAAATATGAAGGTTTCTGGTTTAATGATTGAAGGTATGAGACATTTCACAACTGGAGCTCTTCAGAAAGTGACTATACAGTGAACATTAAGACGTCTTTCTGCATAGATTTAACCTATTTTACTTGCATATGTGTGAGTTCTCTCTGGGTACTCCGGTTTCCTATAATGGATGAAAAACATGACTACTAGGTTGTTTAATCTCTCTAAATTTATCTTTGGTATTGGTATCTGTTTTGTCTGTTTGGTATTTTTCTAAATGGGTTCTCTGTCCATTCTCTGCTGGATAATTATAGCAGCATGAGCTAACAAGGTTGAACATGTAAAGACAATCTAAGGAGGAATATACAATCATAATAAATACATTTGATTTTTTTTAAAGAGCATCAATTTTAATGCCTCTAGTATAATTTTATTTAAAACAAATGCTTTTATAACATTTATCCCTGTTAATTATTATGATTTTTCATCACTTGTTAATAAAAACCTTATACCTTGTTAATATATTATGTGAAGTGAAATAGTGAAAGCCCTTTGGGAAACTCCTCCAACTCCCATTGTCATTGTGACACAGCGCACACAAGTGAACACTGCACACCATGAAATTGCATTTATGCCTCACCCGTGCAAGGGGGCAGCCCTCAATGGCGCCCCAAGGGAGCAGTGTGGCAGGACGGTACCATGCTCAGGGTACCTCAGTCATGGAGGAGGATGGGGGAGAGCGCTGGTTAATTACTCCCCCCACCAACCTGGCGGGTCGGGAGTCGAACCGGTAACCTTTGGGATCCAAGTCTGACACCCTAACCGCTCACCCACGACTGCCTCCTTATTATTATTAATTTTTATTATTATTACCTTATAATAATATAATCTGATAGATACATATCGCAATTGCTTTTTCCAGATGTTTGATCTGTGGGAGCATTAGCAGATGTAGGACTGTCAGAGGATAAAACCCCTCATTGTTTTATTCCTTTGTGTTAACAGTTGGCAGGAAGGAGTTTCAGCGGAGTTTAGAGGTCACACGTTCTCTCCCTTCTTCCCCTAAGAGGCTAGCCGTTGTTCCCCCGAAGCTGCAGTCCCCAGGTAGGTAATCATTAAGTCACATTTTATACAGAAACTGATGAGAAAATGAATACACACAAAGTGGCTCTCCTGTACAACTATAAACTTTTTTTTTTCCAACAATATGAAACAGAATAAAAATTGAAGAGCTATTTTTTGGTTTACATTTCACAAATAAAATGAGAGGGTTTAACAAAGGTTATAAAAGTAAATTTCAATGTACTGTATAAGTTAGTCTCTATGGATTTATTAAACATTTGATTCTATGAAGGAATTTAATAGAAAACTGGCCAAAAAACAGAGGATGGTGTGTTTCCAACTTTTATATATATAGATTTTGCAGAGTTTAGCATACAGATAATAAAAAATACAAAGTCTTATTTCTCAGAAAGAAAAATATCACATTAATCACTTCAAAAATTGTTGATAACACTTCAGCAGGCTGATCACCTGAAAGCCATGCCACACTGCTGCAATAATTTATCCTTATACAGTACAGTACCCTTTTTTTAATTGGATGCATTTTTGTCTGGAAATATTTTTCATCTGCTAATATTTTCTGATAAGCTGAACTTATGATTCCAAAAATCATTAAAGTTAACATAAAAAATATTTGAAATTAATTAAATTGTATTTAATCAGCTTACTTAATGCTCATGTAATGTATACATTTCACTTTTTTATTGATTCAGTGAAATATCTAAACTTAATTGATAATTCTGTAATTTAATTTAATTTAGCGATGAACTTTCTCAAATACTTAAGTAGTTTGTAATTGTTATTATTAACCATAGCATTACTTTTAGCTTTGCATATCAAATGTGCATATAATGCAACAATAGTTTTTTTTTCTGGATCTTCAAAGTTATATTTTTAACACATGGTTAGTTGGATTCTTACCGTTCTCCTTCGTATGTAAATATTAGATCCTTGTGGTTTTTTCTCTGTTTGTTTATATTTCAAACTGTGAAATTCACCCACATCCAAAGGAAACTTGTGGTTTTTCCAAGTGTGTCACGCTGAGTGTTCAGTTTCAGCTAGAATTTGATTCAGCAAACAAAAAGCAAGGCTTTTCTTTTTCCCATTTCTGCAGTGGTAAAAACATTTTGTCAAGGGATTGCAGCAAACTTTCAGCTGTATACCTACAGAAGAAAGCCTTTCCGAGCTGCGCGTTTTCCTTCTGTCAAAAATATTCACCGCAATGCTACTACCTACCTCCTTTCTTTCCTGCACCTTGCTTAATTGTACTATTAACTATATTATCTGACATAAAAAAATCCTTCTATACTCTGATAAAGAAGAAATTATTTTTTTTCCCCATCCACTCCTTTTTCCAACCAATCACAAAATCCAGGATGCTAAAAAAGCTATATTTTACCATTGATTGCAGTTACAGGAATATTTCAGCTCCAATCCAATAAAACAACTATGTATTGCCTCCCCTCTCAGCTAGGCCGGACCTTATTGTTCTCACATAGTTGCTTGTGTTAATATTCTAAAGCCTTCCTCCCTACCCCATCTGCATCACAATCATTTAGTATTCAGTATCCTCTCTGTAACCTTTCAGATAGAACCTATTGATGTCTTCAAGTATGTGTTCACATGTGTGTTTGTCAGAAAATATGGGGTGGAAATGATTAAGAGAGATACTTAAAACAGAGAGTATGGATGTGGTTAAATGCTGCAAGATGTATGGGTTTTAAAAAGCAAAAATTTGCTTGCCCTTTAAGGGGAGTATTCTTACACTTTTCTTATCAGTTTTCTTTTTTTTTCTTTTTTTACTTATCTTAATGGGTTTTGGACATTTTTCATCATTATGGTCATTCAGTGTCTTTTCCCCACCCCCTCCTACTCAATATCACCTTGCAATTCTTTTCTCTCTTTTATCTCACAGCTTTCTCTCTTATTTTATCCCCCATCCCACCCACCTTCCTCTAACCAATTCTTTCCCATTACCTGGGACCCTGCACCCCAATCTCTGCCTCATGTTGTCATGGAAACCACTCACACTTGCTTCAGTAGGTTCAGCTGATATGGCTTCGGCTGGGGATGGAAAAGGGGACAGTTCTTGGGTCACAGTTGATGGACTTAAAAAATGTTCCAACTTTAGGCTATAAGATTTTGTACATTTTTGTTATAAACCTTTGAAATCTGACATAAACACGGGTTAATGGGCTTATCTGTATGTTAGCTTCAATGTAGGTAAGCATGTTTGCCTAGCTTTCAAATTACCCTCATCATTAATGGGTGCAACAATTTCATAGGCTAATTGTTAAAAAACATTTACATAAGTACCAATAAACCCTGATATGTTTACCGTAATGTGCTCTTTGAATTAATTCTAATGCAGCACAGATATTATTCTCATTTGTCATAAAATTAGAGGAAGGAATATCAGATTAACAACGACCACTAAGCGTCCTCTGCAGAAAAGATTTCATTAACCTGCAATCATTTATCTCATGAAGCTGATCATTAGCAGCAGGTCCAGCCATAGCTCTCTTCATTTAACAGCTGTTGGTTTCATTAGTACATCAAAATAGAAATCATGAAGATATATGCAGTGTCATGTTTCTGGGCTGACCGACACAAAGTAGTCCATAACTGAAGAAGAAAAGAAAGATAATGCATGAAATCTAAAAAAGTTTGGGGAGCTTTTATTATTTAGTAGTTTGTTGAACCCCTTAGATGCACTTTGAATTGGATTCTAACTCTGACTGTTCGCTTAGTTTTATTGCCCTGCTAAAATATGAAATATGATAACCTCCTATATTTTAATTCAATCCACTTTCCTATGAAGTCTGAACAGCTTTTATTGTCTCCGATTATACAATGCATCTCCACTATACTGCTGCCACGACCAACTGGCACCACAGGGATTTTGAATTCAGTGTGATATACAGTTATTTTTTGCATGAAGTTAAACATTTTCTACTTCTACATAGTTGAACTTTTTTTTGGCAAGATGGCAGTCCTTTCATGCTCTTTTATGTTCAGATGAGTAATTAAACAAAGGTGTAGGATGTTCAAATATTTTGATATTTTCTATACTAACACATTTCTGAGGCTTTTTGCAAAAACGCTGGATTTATGACGAGGTTATGTAAATTTGGACTCCATTTCACTGTGTGATATGACTTGTGAATGATATAGGACTTAATTTAGGAGTATAAAGATACGGAGGTGTGAAACTAAACACAGAATACTCCTTTCATATTTTTATTAAAACAAAGAAAACTTTATATCACTACTTTTCCATACCACTAGTATGTTCTACTATCTTTAAGAATTCCTGTTGTATACGTTGGACCTTTGCATATGAATATATTTTCAGTGTGTTGGATCAGATCTCAGGGAAAGCAGATAAAATAAAAAATTCTCTATTTTGAATTCCAATTTCCTCTTTCCTGTAATACACATAATTCCTCCCATTTTCTACCCGACATAATTTCCTCTGTTTTCTGTTTCTCCCTGAAGTCCAGCCCGGGCAGCGACCTGCAGCTGCAGTGAGGGGTTCCACTCCTACAGGGTCACCACGCCGTGTGGCCCCCCTGAAACCTCAGCAGGAGAGCCTGCAGAGAGAGAAAGAAGAGGCTCAGAAGAAAGAGCAAGAAAAGCAAGCAGATGAGAAGAAAAAGATGGAGCAAAGGGAGGAGGTCAGTAAAGAGAAAGTTTCCCTCAGTATTTGAAGCTTGCATTCTTCTGCTTTATTCTAAATTCCCTTTTTTTTGTCACTGAAAGGTTCAAAGGCTGCAGAGGCACTGTGAGCTCCAGGAGAGGCAGCTGAAGGCTCTGAGAAATGAGCTGAGTAGAGCTTCTCTTGGTCTAGATGCCTTCATAATCACTACTCAGCATTACTGCCTTAAGGTAACAAACTGAAGTCAAAAAATGCAAGTAAGGGCCTCTTGCTATTAAAGAAAGCTTGACATTTTATTAAGCATCCAAATATTTTTGTGGAGGGTAAAAAAAGTTAACATTTATGCAAGCATTATCATTCCCTCTGATTTTCTATGAAGTAACTTTTCACAACAGAATCCCCCTGTGAACAATATTTCTCTCTTTATTGTTTTTTCTGGTACTTGATTGATTCAAACACACGTGTAACATTTACATAAATGAACTCGAGGACAGATGCATTTTGTAGCCCCACAAGGTCGATGTGTTGATGTGAAAAGACTGGCTGTCTGAAGAACGGATCTATGATGGTGAATCTGAGCTGGTTTGACTCTGCTGTGTCTGATGGTGTGAGTTAGGCTCCGAGACAGGAAAGCAATGGTACTGTCTGTGTCTGTCTGACTCCTTTATGGTCATTGTCTGAGCACTGCATTCCCTCAGCTTGCAGTAAAGTGATGCAGGAAAAGAGACCTGGAGGACAGTATAAATGGTTTAAGCTCCCCCTGTTGGTAAAAACTACATATGACAGCTGTAGTAACATTTTGCTTTTGCTGCTTGTGTTGGTCTTAAACCCAAGTTGTTTCATCTGACTTTCAGACCTGTTTATTATGGATATGAGATTTATTTTCTTTGAGAATGTGGATGGTTAGCAACTGGTTAAAACAAGCATGTGCTACAACATGTGTGCAAATTATTACCAAATGTTATATTTTCTTTGTTCATTGGTTGGGAGCAAAACTTTTCACTTCCAACTTGTTTTCATTATGCGAACCAAAGAACAGCAGCTTTGTCTGCACAAAGAAGAAATAGTAAGAAAATAAATGATAAGACCAGTACTGCCTTTGCCAGCCAAGATAAAGATAACCAGAGAGATGACCCAGAAAGAGACTTGGAGAGAGGAAGTCCCAGATCTCAATAGAAGAAAAAGTGGATCCTCCCATACATGGGCGAAACATTTCTTTTATAAGTGAGGTGTGATGCAAGTTTTTATTTTTTATATAAAACTAACTTCAGCGTGTTTGACCATCCAATCACAGACCAGGTTCAGTGGCGCCTCAGATGTTTGTAAACTGAGCTTCTCAGGAGTGACAGTGGTGACAGTCGATCACACAAGAAAAGATGGTGGGCCAATCAGGAGTTGTAGGCAGACTAAACTTAAGGAAGCAGGCTTCAGTTTGAGCTGCAGTTTTCCGCTTAGTCCTAGTGCTAGGTGAATGTATGTGTACTGTAGCGTAATATTGTTTTCGGACAGTAAAACTTGTAGGCAACAAAAACGGAGGTTTGAAAAGTGTAGGGGACATTTCCCCCTTGTCTTCCCTCCAAATTACGTCCATGCTCCCATAGCTCCATAAATAGTTGTAATATCTCTAATAAATAGCAGAAAGGGCAAAGACTAAGGGAAGCAATAAACAATCAAACCTAACAGACCTTACATTTTTCAGGTTAAAGCAAACACAGAGATACTATCAGGCACCAAGTCATGTAAATTGGTTTGATTGAATGGTAGATCTCTGTCATACTTAGCAAACAATAACCTCAGTAATGACCATAATTTAGATGTTAAGTTTGAACAGAAACATTGTTACATTTATGGGGTTGTCAGTGTTACATTTAATTGAATGTAGATTAATGTAATGTCTGATAAAGTTGAAGTCTCCAAACAACAATTTTCTTTAAAAGATCAGACAGCAAAGTAGAAATGTTTTTCTCTACAGCAAACCCAGCAAACAGTGACATATCATCAAAAAGGGTCTAAATATTTTAAAGATGTCTTTAACTGATATTGTTCCATCGAATACATTTTCTTTAATCTTTGAAAGGATCATTGCCAGTGACTTAGTGAGCCTATTCCCACTTTATCCTGGAACTGCGTAGATGAGAAGAATCTCAAAGGACAAGTGCACCAACTGATATAAACTACAGAAGTTAAAATAAGTTGTATCTTCCTTATTCTAAAGTCTGCTGCAGCCTTTTGCAGATTTTATTCCAGGCCTAAACCTCACCCACCTCCCATCAATATTGATCATATTCCCTGCTTCTACTTCAAAACATGATTGTATTGTGATCAGGTTGATCTCAAGTGTTATTTTCCATAACATGTAACATTAATATGTAAGTCAAATACTTTTAATTGCGGTCAAATCAAACCAGGTTACCTTTGTCCCCAACTTTCCTCTTTCTCCTTTATGGCCTATAGTAAACTTGAAATGATACTTCATATGAATATGTAATAAGGTTACTTTTTTTTTGCAAAGCACCTTTAACTCATAAAATCAAGTGGGGTTTATTTAAACATTTAAAATTATATTTCTTAAAATCCTATCTGAATAAATATATAAATGCTTTGAAAAAGCTTTAATGGAGTCAACACAACACCAAAGTAAATCAGGGAGAATTCCAATGATCAGGGTTGAAAAGCCTTAAATGAAAACCCTCAATCAATTTAAACTGCATAGTTGATGTTGAAGCTAACAGCCAAACATCAGTTGTTTGTTGTCTTGACATAAAAATATTCAAGGAATATTATTGCACATTCAACTCTATAATTTAGTCTCAACATCACTTTCAATAACAGCTCGAAAGTCTGACAGCGGTATCCAAAACCTGCTATATAGTGTATCTATGAAACTGTTGATTTTATTATAAACCATACAAACATAGTACCGGTAATTATAATTGTTTTCAAAAGATTTGAAACCATCTCAGAAATATGTTTTGTTGTTTTTCTTTTAATTTACAGAATGAAGCTGCTGAGAAAGGTCAAAGAAAATTATCCCTGGAGTTACAGAAGGCTAAAGAGGAGATGAGTAAGTTGGAAAAAACATTAGGCTACCAGATAATAATTCAGCTCCTTTCCATCTTTTTATTTTGCTACACCACAATTAAAAATCTGATACTGTAGTTATTTCTACTTACATTACAAAGTAATTTGCTTAAGATTGAAAATATAGTAGTTCTCATTTTTAGTTTGATGTTTCTTGCTGGGAGCATCTGAAAAACTGGTTCTGGTAAAATTATTTCACAGATTCAGTGATTGCATGTGAATAAGAATAAGCATGTAATACAAAAAAAACCTCTGAACTATTTTCATACCTGATTCACCGTAAACATCTAATAGGTTTAAAAAAAAAAAGATTATAGGAACACCTCAAAATCACCTCAAAATGGAAAAGTTTGACATTTTCGTTCCCTTTTTAATCTGCTTAATGCACAGCCTTCCAGTCAGTGCGCTGGGAGAGACTCCAGCAGGACAAAACAGCCCTGGAGGTGGCCTTTGAACGCGAGCTGCAGCAGCTCCAGGTGCAGCAGGAGGCAGAGCTGGCTGCTGTAGAGGAGAGCCTCAGGAAGTGTCACGCTGCTGAGCTGGAGCACCTAAAGGAGGAACACCGGTTGGAGATGGAGGAGCTGACGACTCAGCAGCAGGAGCAGGTGACAGAGAGGAATTAAATGATTCACATCAAATATAACAAGCTGTTTGCACATATATATCTATTTATATATATTTGTTGATGTGTTAGATGGAGGAGGTGACAGTTAATCATCAAGCAGCCATGCAGGAGCTCAGAGACATGCATAATATTACCATGGCAACACTGCACGAGGAACATGCCCGTACCATGAGAGGTACGTTGGATTAAAAAAACTAATTGTGATGCAGAAACTACTAGGAGTGACTTCTGTTTATGTGTTGCCATGTTTGTGTGCAGACTTGAGAAAAGCTCATGAGCAACAGAAGCTCCTTCTAGAGGAGGATTTTGAAAAACTGAAGCTTTCTTTACAGGTATTATGTCACCTTAAGACAGGTCTTTACAGATATATTCATTTGTGACCATAGTTCTGAGATCTAACATTGCTACTCTTTGGCTTTGGTCAGGATCAAGTGGATACTCTCACATTTCAAAACCAGAGTCTAAAGGAAAAAGCCAAACGCTTCGAGGAGGCTTTGAGGAAGAGTACAGATGAACAAATCATTGTGAGTATAGATCTCAGTGTGTCTGAAAAAGAAAAATCTTTTTTACACATTAATACTGCAGGCCTTAAAGGGATATGAGGGACATGTCTCCCTCCGCCCAGCTAGGCGGAGGGAGACATGCATCTGGCTGTTGTTGAGCTCGCTGTCTGAATGACGGCGCGCACTGATACGAACAGAGAGAAAATAGGACCAATTGATAACGACGTGTGACTTTTTCCACTACAATGTTTTTGGGATGCAAAAATGTCGCTCTTTTGAACACATAATGTTTTGGGAAGAGAAACGTTTTATTTCGCTGTTCCTAAAAACCTGCCGGACTACTTTCGGCTTGACCAAAACTGGACGATAACTCTGCTCACAGGACGCTGCCAGGGGTAAGTCAGTGTGATTGCATGCCACTGGTGATGGGGATGCCATACAGATTCATGTCAAAAATACCGAACTATCCCTTTAATGCTCATTTCTGATTTATTTAGTGGAATACGATTATTTTGAATGGTCCTTCCCATTTCCAAATATATAGGACTTCTATGTGATCCCCTGTGTGAACAGCTTAACTGCCCCACATGCGCAGTAGAGGACACAATGGTGTCACAAGTAGTGAGGGTGAATGATAGTGCTTTATCAACGCAATCTTTTCAAGAAGATCAAAAAGAAAGGCTGCTCTCTGCATCATCATCATCCACTCTGGTTGTTTTTATTTTTTTCTTCCTGCTTCTGTGTTGCAAGACACAGAATATGGACCTTTTTTGAGTATTAATGACGTCCAGGTCAGATGAATGCGACCTGGATGTTCACACATTCCAGGCATTTGAAAAAATCAGATATGTATCAGATTTAGGACCATATAGTCAAGTGGCCTGTGTCACATTTGAAAAAAAAACTCTTATCTATAATGTTCAGACTGTCATGAATAGATCAGATACATATCGCATATGGGTAAAAAAAAAATCAGATTTATGTCACTTCCGCCTGCAGTGTGAATTTAACCAATGTCTCGAAATAAATTCTAATCCAGTGTGGCTAACAGGTGAATAAATGAAAAGTTTAAAGGAAAGAAAAGCGGGAGACGATGAGTACGAGTACGAGTTTAAAGGAAACATGTTTTACCTACTGCTTTTCTAAAGTATTCAGACTCTTTCCAAGCTTTTTCTAATTACAACTATAAGACAACGCTTATTTTTTTGTGACAGGCCAACATTTTATAATAGGAAGGGACACTACAGTATGCATCGTGTACATTTGCATAAAGCCCCACATACTCAGTACCTGCAATTACAGCTTAGAGTCTTTCAGGTTTTTCAAGGTCTATAGACTATAATTTCTAAGGAAATCACTTAAACTCAAACGAAGTGGACATTGTCTGAGAACATTAATCTTTATGTTTATACTCATATTTTTTATTAAGTATATCTATAGCTGCTGTTTTTGCAGATGTGTTGTTAACTTTTAGTATAGTGCAGGAAAAATTCAGTATTAGTATTTCAGATGGAGCTTAAAGATGGAAGAACAAGACACAAACAGATGTAATGCAACCTCTGACCATTAGAGGTCAGCAAAGTGCTTCTAATGGGACATTTGGTTGAAGTAAGCTTTATTGAAATTTGGATGCATGAAGTCCAGTATTTAAGAATAGTTTTTGTCAGACTTGTTTATATGTTCTTGGTTTTACATGAAAACCATGCATTTTAATTATTTAAATTTCAAAGTGATGCACTATGTTTTGTTAGTTTATCATTTATAATGCAAAGAAAGTGACCAGTGGTTTATACACAAAAAGCCCTTAATACATTTATATGGCCTTATATATATTTACACAATGTTTATTTTGTTTACCAGGATGCTTTAGCTCCATACCAGCACATTGAGAAAGATCTGAAGAGCCTGAAAGAGGTTGTTGAAATGAAAAACCAACAAATTCACCAGCAGGAAAGGAAGATCTCTGACCTGGAGAAAGTGGTAGGCTCAAATAATCTTTCTAAAGGCAAATTCTTTCAAACCTTGTATGCAAATTACAGATGCAAAGCTTTCTGGACTGATGATTATGAGTGTGCGGTGAATGAAAGATTGCTCCGTTGTTTTACTCTAAATTTGAGCAGGCTCAAAAGAACGTGTTCCTGGAAGAGAAGATCCAAGTTCTGCAGCAGCAGAATGAAGATATGAAGGCTCGTATAGAGATGAACGTCGCTATGTCTAGGTAGGACACGTCCAAAGGTTTATTCATAGAGATTCACTAAATTGGTCTCTGAGGCCTGTGTATAAAATTTTATGCAAATGCAAGTTGGGTCAGAAGCTGTAGAGATATCAGGAGTTATCGTGTTTCAGGATTTGCTGGTATTGAATGCTAAAATGTTTCTCAAATAAATGGTGTCTGTCTTATGAGGTGCCGTCTAACTGCTAAAAGCTTGACACCGTTTGAGCTACTATTATAAAATCTTAATGGTAAAGGTGAGTTCTATTAGTTTATGAAAACTAAAGCAGCTTTTTAAATAGATATTTTGCATATGAGCCAATTATAAATCTCTAGGTGGGACACCATTGTCATAAACAATAACTGGATAAAATATAAAATAAACTGAAAATGTTGTGAAATACATAGCCAATGCATAATTTGATGCTGCATTGAACTTTCTTTAGAAAAAGAAGCTGCGTTTGTCAGATATTTTTTTTGGTCTACAGACATTGCTCAACATCCCAACTAGTGGTAAAATTTCTTTATCGCTCCTTTAGCCAACAATATCTATGGTGTGATTTTAAATACCATTTAACAAAGTCTTCAACATATAAACTCACTAGAAACGGGTGCAGAAATCAGGCATTTATATTAAGAAGTACGTTTATCTTAGTGGAAAACCTATTAAAAAAAAATGACCCCCTTTTTACATTCTGATAGGACATGGGCTGGAGCTATTAGGTCCTAAAGATGAAGATATGGATCTTTATGTCAATTTTACAGAGATTTTATGTAATTGTAACTTTTTTTCTAAATATTTTAAGGGGTTGATTTTGGGGTCTGGTTTTTTTATCTGTATGTTTTACTACTTTCCACTCAAGGCAACTGTCAGAGAAGAACGCCAACCTGCAGGAGTCGGTGGAAAAGGAGAGCACAGAGAAGAAGCGCCTGAGCCGCAACAATGAAGAGCTGCTGTGGCTTCTCCAGACCAGCCCCCTCATGTCCCCGGCTTCATCCCCACTCCACCGCTCCTCCTTCTCCACCTCCCCCGTTCCCTCCTCCCCACTATTCTCCTCATCGCCCTTGGCAGGATGCGACTCGCCCACCCACTGTCACGGCTGTCCCAGACAGGCGCAGCACTGCTCACCGTCCCACAGAAGTGTCATCAATCAGAACCTCTCTCCCGGACCAGCCACCCCCACTCATAGGGCCGCTGTCAATTACAACTACTCCTCTGGGCCGAACACACCCACTCACAGGGCGCTGTCAGGTCGCTGTAATTCAAACACCTCTTTGCAAAACTAAAATCAGCTTTCAAAACACACATTCCTTCCTCAGTACTCCAATTCTTTACTTTCTGACAGGAATGGTATGTAAAAGTAACTTAAACCGGTTACCAGAATACTGTACACACACTGTGAACCACCAGTCTTGTGGTGCTCATTATACAGAGATTCTATAAGATGGACATACACACAACACAAAAATGGCTGGCTGCAGCTACACCTTTCTGTCAGAGATCCATGTTTGTCTTCATGTATTTTCAAATACACTGTAAGTACTATTAAATATTAGAGTAGTTGTTGTTGATAGTTAAAGCTCTCTTGCATGTGTTCTGTGCAGCGTGAGATAGAAATAGCACATTCTGATCACCGGAAAATGATGCTCTGGTGTAGTAAAAAGATGCACATAGTCACACACACACATATCCCCAGTTAAATAAGCTGTTCTCCGTCAGAATAATCTGTCAATCAAATTTCTGTTCTCAGTTCTCTCTTTGCATCTGGACAAAAACAAAGCGCCTTAAACTTGGTCCTTCCTCCTCACCAGCAGACAGCGACCAACGTTTTATTTATAAGGGACTTTTGATCAAAAATTGGTTTGTAAATTGAAGCAATTTGCCTCCTCGACTTATATTTGAGAGTTTCTAATTAGCTCAATGCTGATAGTGTAACCTCCTGGGAGCCGCCAGGTCTTCCTTTCTTAAAATGAGCTCCTCTCTATTTCAGGTCCCTCAGGTCAGCTTTCAAAATCTCTGTTTGCTGTTTTCTATGTACCTCAGTGGGAATGTGCATTCTGTTGTGTCACAACAGCAGAAGCAAAAACGCAACCTAACAGTTAACGGAGAGCTCAGAGCTAAGGAAAGCCTAGCACAGGATTTACTGTTTTAATTGTTGTCTGTGTCTTTATAGTACAACGTTTATATCTGATTTATTTATTACATCGGATTTGCTAATTAAGCAAGCATGTACAGTGGAAGTCTTCCAGTTTTAGTGTAAAACACATTATTGCTGTAATTTGTTTATTGACGCTGATATGTTTAGAAAATAATTGTGTTTGTAATATGTCTTATGGGACTAAAGTGGAATACAGCATGCGATATTGGACCCTAGAGTGCGGATAACCTGGGTATCCTGAGCATAAGAAATAGTGCAGTGGCTTGTATGTGCAAAAATATTCAAATCCCTTTTAGATTTATTGCATCTATAAGTGAAATTTGTTTTTTATTGGGATTGCTTGTGATAGAGCAGCACCAAGAATTCAGATTTAACCTGATACCTCTAAATAAACATTCAGTGAAAGTAGTGTAGAAGTTACCCTTTACAGAGTTGCTTAAAGTTATTGTCCTGCTAGAAGGTCAATGCCATCTCAACAACCAAGTTTGTGTGCAGCCTGCAGTGCATTTTACTCCCATTAGTATGTCCATAAACTTGGTCCATCCTGAAGAAAAGTATTTCCCAGCATGATGCTGCCACCATCATGTTTCACTGTGGAGACATTGGCTATCTCGCTACACTCAAAAACGTCGGCCCTATCCCCCCTTTACAGAGCAGGGACTATATAGTGAAATTTATGGTGAACCCAGACAGAGGATCACTACTTTTCACTCCACATTGGTCATGAGACTCCAGCTCCCAACATGGTGCCTATGCAATCTTTGTACTCTCTCACCCCCCCTAAAAAACCATGATGTTTTGTGAGCAGAGCTCTTGCAAAGCATTCTGGGATATATATCTGTTCGTCTAGTGACCATTGATGGACACTACCTTTCAAGGTGCATCGTGGGAAATTTTGAGTCCACTACCTTTTCATCCACTAGACATTTGGACACATAAAATAGCATAACCCCTACTTATAGCTCTTGGCTCTTTCTGTTTGCTTTATCCTTTAAAAGTTGGCTTTCTTATTGCTTTTCCTAAACATTAACCTCCATCTTACCACTTTTTTATAAAAGCTAGATTTATGGATTGAGTGAATGACAGATTTCTATATATTCTCGCACTTGAGCTGTAGGTCTCTACAGCTCCTCCAAAGTTGTGCCACACTCTTCATTTTAAGATGATGGCGAAAACAGTGATGTGTGCAAAGCTTTTCTGATTTTTGGATTCCATTTTATAATTATGTTCTTCTTTGTGTTGTTCTATCACATAAATCCCAAATAGATATAATAAAATTGATAGCTTTATTTGACAAAGAGTTAAACGGGCCTGGATATCTTTTGCAAAGTACAGTAGCCATAAAACATGAATGCACAGAGTGTTATTTCGTAAATGAAACAGATTCGCCTACAGACTCTGCAAATCACTGTTCTTAGATAATGCTCTGAGGAGTCTTTTAATGAAGTGTGTCTCTAAATTATGTAGGTAAAACATAGAACCCTGTTTATCTTTTTGTCATGTGCTTAATTAGGCTTGTAGAACATTATTTATTGTACCTCTTCTCAATCATTTTCAAGATACATCTCATATCCATTTCTCTTTTCAACATGCTAGAATAAATCATCAGAAGTATCTAAGTTATGATTTAACATAAAACATGATTAGTATTTAAAAAGATATTCCAAAATTGCTCTACAGCTCTGAGGAAAAAAACACACTACATCTACCAACTGTCAATTTTATTCATATTTATCATTTATTATTATTCATCATTGTGTCATATCCACATCCTGTTATGTAATCTGCCCACTATAGTACCCTCAGGTTCATGATGTTTTGTTTTTTAACAAATCATTGAAAAGACTTTTATCCACAAAGCTAATATAGTCTAACATTCACGCAAGATTAACCACTGTAAATAAAGTCAGAGAGTCAGTGTAAACCATTCTATTATTGAGGGGAGCATGCATTTGGGTTAGTAGCTCATATAGGTGTATTTATAGTTAAACAGACGTGAGGGGGGCCCTGTGTGGGCATTATGTGTTTTTATCATGTAGATCTGGCACTTGTTTAACAGAACTATCTGGCGTACTTGTGCTGCAAAATGCAGAGAAAATATTGACCAGCACACTTGATTTGAATGTTTCCAGCTCGGCAGGCGAGCTGCATGTGAAATGATTATTGAGACATTTAGTGACAATAATGCTCTCAACAAAAAGAACTGACACTCCTGGTAAAGATGCATGCAAAAGCCTTAAGAAAAATGGTTGCTATGAAAATAATTGCTGCTTTTTCCAGTAAACTTTTTTAACAAATTTTTGGTCACTTTTTTGAAGGAATAAAGGTCAAAATTGGGCCTTATTTAAATGCATGTTTTCTTGTCTTTCTCATAGTAAAGAGTTGCTTGCAGAAATAAATCCTTGTTGAACTCAATGACCAAATTTCATATAAAACATTTTTTATAATATTCATTTTATTTTAACTGTTAGGAGTAGTACTAATTATACAGTATTTATTCCAAAATATTTTTTTTATATTTTAACATGGGATTTTTTTCAACAAAGTTCAGGTTGAATACTTGTTTTTTTTTTTTTTTTTTTTTGCTGCAGCAATATAAGATTATTGTATTGCTTTTTACACATCTTTACCAGGGGTGCACATTTAAAGTTAAGGGTGATGTTAGTCTTTAAGTTCTTCACCAGCACTTTTTGACGGCCTTTAAAAAAAAAAAAACTCCTTTAATTAAACTTCTAAATTTTTGTATGACGTGGACACAGGGTTGAATGCTTCTGTCAGAAGAATGTCAAGTGCAGCGTAGGAGAGATGAGCTGAAACTGTCACAATTATTTTGTTTGTTTCCTTTTTCTACACTGATCATTTTTGAGAATGTCTACTCAATTGATAAAAAAAGGAAAATAATAAGAAAAAAAATAGTTCAGTCAGAAACTCACTGTGTTTTCAGATTGTTTGGGATTATTTCTCACTCCTCCTAAAGGTTCACCTCAGGTGCAAAAACTACAGTTTCAAAGGATGCAACTAAACTATTGTTTACAACTAACAGCATACAGTTCTGAATTTCAAGATTAGTCTTTTGAATGAACTACAGTTTCTAAACACTAAACTGGTATTATAATTACCCTGCAATGTGTCCCGTGGACATCTGTCTCTCACTTTGCTCTGAATGTCAAAATTGTAATGATTGCATTTGATAAAACTCTTTCATGCCATTTTGTTAACTAAAGAAGGACCTTTTTTGTGATTGTGATTTTGTAGCAGCCATATGATATGTAGCATTTGGTCAAACTTGCCTACGAAACAACAGATGATTAGTATTTTGACACTCATGTAAAACGTTCAAATGCTACTGTAGCAAATGTGGCTTTTCAACATTTATTTAGTTTAATAAGTAAAATTTGTAGAGGACCATCTTTAAACCATAGCTCCAATGGATTTTGATCCTGAGACAAGCTTTTTGGTGCTGATTGTATGTTTGAATGTAGATACATTTACAACCCGAGTCGTGTGTCTTAGTGCACCGACAGATATACAGTAGAAGCATGTTTCCTGCCTTTGTCCATGTTCTTTTCTCTTCTTTGACCTCTGCGTTGTTTATGGTTAAGCTGTAACTGTAGCGTTGGGGATGTAGAAAAATAAAAGTGAAACTGTTCATCAATGTAATGTGAACACAGTATGTTGATGCTTTAATTTGGCATTTTTAGCAAAAGGACAGTAATAAAGTGTTTAAAAAGAAATGCAATAATAAGTGTGTTGTGTTCATTTTTTCTGCAAGAGTTTTACTAATCAAAAATTTCAATACAACAGCAAATTATATTCATTATGGTTACTAACTGTTGGGTTATGTGTTGTATGCTGATTATTTTTCATGTTTTTCTTTTTATATTTTTCACTCTGGGATGTGGTGATGTCTACTTTGTGCATGGAGTGTCAGAGGGTGGTAGAGAGCCCAAGTGTTCACATGGTGTTCAGAGAGAGAGTAGAGAGCAAGAAGCTCTAGGGTGATTAACCTTGCTTGAGCACCTGAGGGGCCTTTTGTTTGTTTGCCCTTGGTGTTGTTTGAGTCAGTGGAACACAGAGACGCTACTGGTTATCAACCTGCTTATGATTTAACAGAAAATGACAAAAGTCAAATAAAAGAAATGACTAAGTTGGTCTGAGTTGTTTCCTGCGTCCTCTGTGCCAAGCCTGGTCGAGTTCAGGCAGACAAACCCCAAAATAACTCGACACTAACAATATGTATATAGCCTCCAACATAAGACCAGAGGAGAATGGATATACAGTACCTTAAACATATTATGTCATGACATTTTTCGTATGTTGTCCTGTTAAACTAACAAAATCAAGAAAAATTGAGAAAAAGACAGATTTCAGTGTTCATGCACCTTTTCCATTTCTATTGCATTAAAAATGATAAGAGTGAATTATGCATTTGTATCAGAGGTTATACTTTATAAAAGTATCTTTTTTTGTTAAAGCTGCAGATCTTTGGGGGATATGTCTGTGCCAGTTTTGCACGTATAGAAGGTAGAATTTCTGCACATTTATCTTTGCAAAATAGCTGAAACCTCATCAAGTGGAACAGACAGTATTTGGCCAGACTTGTGGGCCATTCTACGGCATTGCCATGTTTTAGTTTTAAATTGTTCCATTTTAACACTTACGTGTATTAATAATAATCTTAAGATAAAATGCACCCCTGCCTCATGATAATTTACAGCCTCTAACAGCTTTTCTTCTAGGATTGCCATGTACCTACAGTACCTCCATCCACATTATGATAAGTTA